TTTCGCTCCTAACGTGTGCGTCCCTCCGTTAACCGAGTATTGTCTGGTGTGGTCTGAGTGCACTTGGGAGCGATTCACAGATACACTCACACTCTGCTGTGCCGCTTGGCGCTGTGTGAGATCAACGCGTCCAGAGGAGCCAGCAACAAGTTTTGCATTTCTGCAGCCGCTTCCATCCACGAGGGCTCAGCCAATCAGAACGACCTGAGAAAGCTTCGAGGGCGGGACAAACTCTTTTAAGGTGGTCCATGACAGCTTCAGTGAGAATCAAATCTTAAAAAGGGACTTTCACTCATAATATAATGTTTTTAACAATATAGATTACGCAGTATTTGTCCCATTAAAAAACACACTAACTTTTTAACTCGTCTTAAAGATATTTATATTTATTTCCAAAGGGATACCTTTGTTGTTCATCGTTGCCTCTACCACAGAATTATTGAGGTGAGGAACGATCCTGCAACTCTCATATCCTTTGAATAACAGAGCTTAAAGTATGTTGCTTTAGTCCTCTTCAACCATGAATATTTTGTTCAGTTATTGCACCAACTCATTAAGTGGAAGTGTATCAACCCAATGCAATAACATGTATTGCAAGGACTTTATTGAAAAACACAGGCTAAGTAGTTAACAAGCTGTTGTAGAAAGAATATAAGAGCAACCAGTTACGAATTGGGTTTATAATTCAGAGACAGTCAATTCACAAAAATCGATGTCAATCTCTAATGTAAGCTCACAAGCTGAATATTATGTGTATATGAGAAATGCAACATGGAACAATTAAATAGTTCTACATTGATCTCAATAGGTGGATATATAGCATACTGCCTGAGAAATTACTAAATATCTGAAATGTGAACCAAAATATCGGATTGTATATTGATGTTGTGATGAAGGTATGCATTATATTAATATTAAGCTATAAGACGTGTATCACTCACGCTTCTCTGACCAATCAAACTCGCCCGTGTCTTATGTGAATCCCAACGGCGAAAAATAATCCTCCTTAAAAGACCATCTGAACTAAATCAAGTGGATTGTATTGGGCTTCAGTTCCGATAATCAATAACATTCTCTTGCTATTAAAATAGAACATTCTTAGGCTAAATTAGGAAAATGTACCTAATGGGTTAATTAGCTGTAGGCCTAAAATGACCGAAGTTATCTGTGTAAGATATAGTGGTGCAATAGGCTAATAAGAAGACATTCAATTATTGCAAAGATTATCTTTATGTTTATGCGAGTTTCAGACAAAAGTCTCAATTTATAAGACAGCCTAATTGCCGAGTCCCTTGGTAAAAATAGTAAAAATAACCTACCTTCTGATATATTCAAATGTTATGCCATAGTTATGCATGTTTAAGATGTTTTAATTCTTATTGTGTCATTCGGAAAGTGCCTGAATATTATTTGTAGCTTGCTTCCTTACACTTTCTGTTAGTGTGTTTATATCAGTCAGTTAGTTCATTTTTTGGAGATAATTTGGATCTTGTTGGTAATTCTGACATGGCGTTCACATTCATTTTCCCTCGTTACATTTTAAACAACCTAACAAAAAAGAAAGATGTTTTAAAATATTCTCATAGATTGTGTAGGCCTACGTGGGGTAATCTTAGATTTACAGAAAAACTTGAAGTCATTATATGAAATAAAGTAAACATCTGGGAATACAAAATATAATATACTTCCTCCATTGACCACCATGGATATTTTCTTTGGTGAAATAAGAACTCTACATTTTCATTTTCCCGACATGGTGGACAGTGGGCATTTGGAGTATTTTGTATCAGACAGCTCTGGGGGAAACCGAGAGGACTTTTTACCAAACAGACACAGTGCCACCTAGCGACGACCACCGCTCATGTTGCAGCATTCAGAAAATAGTTAGAGCATAAAAAGGCATGCAGGTCCAAATTGGTGCATTCTGGGAATACCATTTGTTATTGTTATTTTGAATTTATAACAAACGGATACTATAATTGTGTTTATTAATGTAATACAATTACTGAAAGGGTGTAAAAAGGGAGATCCTTTGCCACTAATCCTTTTATCACTTGGTGTTCTGTTGTTTTTTCATTTCACACTGAGTATTGTTTTGTTGTTGTAAATATTCAGTGGAAGGAAAACCTTTTTAGGGAAAATTACTTACTCAACATGTTTACTCTTTCTTCGAAAACTGGCCAAACATTTTTGTCTATGGGCAATATACTGACAAATATAAGTCAAAGGCTAAACAATAGACATTTCACTAGTTGACTCAGTTTTAAAACTAGGATGTGTGATACAGTACAGGAAAATATATTGTTAACATGCACAAAATCTATCAATATGCCATTTTCTAGTACATCTTTTGTACGCCAGTAGGTTGGCCGTATTTGTCCAGCAGTGGCTCAATCAGTATTTCCTGTATTTGGGTTAACGGGAAGTAATGCAATATTTGTTTTTGTAATATTACAATTCATGTCTTAGATTTTCAAATATAATGAGATATTCTATACTATACTCAACGTTTTAATATGCTTTTTACTGAATGTTTTAGGTAATTCTATGTGTTTACAAAAATAAGCAGCTCTATAAAAAAGCACACACGGCTGTCTAACAGAAGCAGACTGTGCTCCAGAGGAGGAGGCTGTATGTCAGGACAAGGCATTGGAAGGGGCTGGGAAGGAGAATGTGTATTTTTGGAAATTTGGGGGAGTGGATGTGCATTTCTTGCAGCTGAGAGGACAGCCGTTGTAAGGGAGGAGGCAGGGAGAGACATTGGTTGTGTTGTGAAGGAGACATTGTTTAAAGTAATCGTCTTCTCGAGAAGGAAAGACAATGTTGAGATGTTCTGAGAGCTGCTGTGCTTGTGTGGTGTGTTGCTGAAAAAACAACCAACAGTTTTTTTCAGTATCACCTTGCTAGAGGAGTGCTTTTATATCCAAGAGCCAGCTGGATGTAGCATCATTAGAGTTTTACCCATACAAACTGCATATCAAACTGTTTTAGCCGAGGCGGCCATCACTGCTCTGTGAAGCCCCTTAGGAATATAATGATTCATGTTCATTTCTCAACTCATAAAGGCTTCTTGTATCACAAAACCCAATAACAACACTGGAAACAAGGAGCAGCTCAACAGCACAAAAAAGAAATAAAGATATTGTTCCATCTGACCGAAATACTAATCCCCCTGTGATACAGCTTCTGCTAGCTCTGACTACAGTCTTCTCAGATGGAGACAGACAAGTTAAGTATGACAAACCGATGGCATGGTCTCTCTCTCCCCTCTGTCCCCAGTGATGATAAATGCAGCTGAAAGCTGCTGCTGCTGCTGCTGCTGCAGCAGAGGCAACTTCATGACAATGGACAGTCAACAGGCTTTCAAGTAATGTCACAATACCACTCTACTCTGTAGTGATTTAGCACTCAATTTGTCTCCATATTTCACTCAGTGGGACAAGATAGCAGAAGTGGGTAACCTCCTCTACCCTTAATTCATGGCGTTTCTCAGATAGACATATAATTACATGGGGGGTCGCCCAAAGAGACTGTTTCCTCCCTTGTTGGAGAAGGGGGGGGGGGCACGAACCCGTTTGGGCAACATGGAGCCTAGTTCTTCTCTATGGGCCTGTCACTCAGCTGAGGCATCACAACTCCCTGGGTCAGAGTGGGTTAAGCAGCATCTGTCATCCAGAGAAGAACCATTGTATAAAGGGGAGGGATGCAACAGAGACCCCCCCCCCCCCTAACCCTCTCTCCTTGTCGGTTGGCTCCACACCTTTCCCAGAACAACAGGAAAATCTCTGGAGCTAAACTTGACCCAGGCCCGGAGGATGAGGAAACACTAGTGACATCACACCAACCCGCCAGAAATAACTTTCCTTTCCAAGAAAACCTGCAGCCCCTGAGCAAATCTGGCCCCGGGCGAAGGTCGCACACACAAACATAGTAGGGGCGGACATGACTTGGAGCTAAATCTTAACTGCGCCTTTCCCCTTTAAAAACAGACAGATCTCGCCAGTGTCTTGTAGCAGGAGCTGCAGCAATGTGGTGCAACAAACAGTGGGTTTCTTTTCTTAGTTTTGGAGGCCTCCTCATTTAATTTTGACACATTTCAGAATATTGTTACTCCTGCCTATGGGTTGAAAGCAATAAGCTGGTCGTTCTGGCTATCACAAAGTGTTTTTAGCACTGATCGTCAAGTCTTTCCTCGGCATCATGCCTGAATGTCCTGCTGTGTCAAGTCTTGATCCTCCCTTTGAGATCCATTTCTTCTCTTCATCTGTTGCCTCGTCTATTTAAGCGACACAGGCTCACTCATGACATGTCCCTTCATCATCTCTGCGAGAGAGACACATGGATGGATGGATTCATGCCTACTGTAGACCACTGTGAGCTGCCACTTAACAGGAGGTGTGTGGGCGAGCCTGCCCATCTCCGCTTTTAGAAATAGCATTATTTGCTTGTTCTGGGGGCAGATATGACTGGTTTCCTTGCAGCAGGCACATGTGACTATTCCTCCACAAACAATAAAAAAGGCGGATATCTCAGGCAGCAGACAGGCGGCTCTTCCTGCTATTTAGCACGGATTCCACTGTTATTGTGCGACTCTTCTGACCTGCAGGTCACTGAAAGTCTAGTCCATGATGAAGTCACCAATAACTTTTTCTGAGGGGAAGTTTATCCTATCCAAAAGGCATTTTACAGTAGAGAACAAGACCTCATCCAAACTAGTAAATAATGTATTTAATATGAAGCTCAAGCCAGTCGGTTATTGGGAGCAAACGTTTGTAGACAGTTGTTAAAAAGCTGTATATAATGTAAATACTGCATTTAGGCAGGCAAATCTATGCTTGCTATTGCAAGTTTTTATACCAGAGGGGGAAAAAAAGGGACACAGACAGAAATCTTAATCCAACTATTGCCCAACAGGAAAGGAGTTTTACCACGTCCCCTTTAGGTCTAGCCTTCAATCTCCAACAACCACCTCAATACAATCAGACGACGGAAGCCCAATCTGAAATGTATGTTGAATTTATTTGATATTTAGATACAATACGTAGACTTATGGCACACACAAACAAGATTTCGGAAAGAAAAGGCACAAAATCATACATTCACTACCATGTCCCCTGAATTTCAAAAGCTGATCAGAAACATTTAAATAGCAAGCAGTTTCATAAATTAGAATAAGACTGTACAGTTTCCTCTCCCCCAAAACATTGTCGTGAGCGACGGTAAACCATTGATTGAGGTTGTTCTCTCTAGCCACTGGCTTCTCTATTCAACACACAGCAGGAATCATTAAGATAGACTTTGGAAACATTGATTACACTGAAGACCAACTGTTTCACACTGTTTGCTATTTGAGACATATGCATACAATCTCTGGCCGTCTTCTTTGCTGTATATACCACTTCCCACTGGTTTCTAAGTGTACCATATTTCCCAGAAAAGGATATGGTTTGGTGAAAGGAAGAGAATTAATTGGGTCGACTGGTGAGCAACTATAGCTAAAATATCGTGTCATTATGTTCACCTGAGAAGTTTTTTGTGAAGTAAAATTTAGCTTCTCAATTTTCCTTTAATACTAACCACATTTGCTGAATTTATGTAAACATATCAGACATCCATTCACACCCTTTGGACAAGCCACTAAACCGTTAAGTGATAGTATCTCATACATTTACACAAATAAACACATTAGGAGAATGCAGATTATTTCATTGAATCTTGGTCTTGGAGAAAATAGCATATATTGAAAATATCTCTAAAAACAGAACCCCAATCCCCGTTGCTCAATTTCAGACATTGAAACATCACAAAAAACAAGGATTGAATGAGGACCACTTGTACTGTATATGTATGTAACACTATTGATGATCACTGTAGGCTAGTGCCACATGATTCTGTAGCCTAAGGGGAAAAAAGTGCACTATGGAGTTGAAGAGTCATTAATATGTCATGTCAATTAAAAGGCTGATGGGAAATCTGCAGACTTTTGCACCAAACGCTGTACCGTAAAGGCTTATCTGGTGGCAACGTTTTAGCTTGCTGAAGGAATGGCAATGATTCAGGCACTGCTAAACATATCGGGAAACATGCACTTTACAGCCTGGAAGTAAAATAGAGACTGATCCCCAACAACTTTGCTCATAAAGATCTGCCTGACATGATTTAATCCTAACGGGTAGTAGGCTCATAGCTTGTGCTAACCTTTTGGTGTTAGGAAAATTGCCAGTCAGAAAAAAGGGAGGTAGCTAGAGCAACAGCTGACAGCAGAGGTACGATAGGTATAAAAGGCCCGATATAGGTCCGGAGATTACGGCGAGCAGTGTGTGGTGCTGGTGTCGACTGGGCCCTGGTACGGCCTGTAAACACACCCAGAGTGAAGCAGAAGAAAAGAGGCCTTTAGGAGAGCGTCTACCTCAGATAACCAGAGGAGAGAGACGGGCCTCTGGGGAGGGCTGGGCAAGGTGGGGCGAGCAGTGCGGTGCAGTTTGGCTTGTGACGGAGGCTGGAGGGGTGCAGCACCATCTGTGGCTGTTTTTCAGTGCAGTTCTTTCTTTGGGGACATCTGCTATGGAGGTGAATGGTGTGTTGGATGTTTTGTGCGAATGTCTTCAGAACAGGGAGTGTGTGGAGTGGGGGGAAAAAAGGAATCAGTGGGAGCTGTAAACACTTTCAAAGTACCATCCTTTTAGCTGCACCAGCGTGCATAGATCTGCCCAGCGTACGCTGTTAGGAGACCAGTCACTGCATAGGCATCCACACCTGTGAGCGTGTGAGAATGAATTCACATGTTTATTCTTATGTGCGTGATGTATATGCGTCATATGCATGCATGTGTGGGGTGCTAGTAAGTGTGTACGAGAGTGAATACCTGTACAGGCATGATTGTCAGTGATAATAAGATGCAGTGTTGGGTAAAGTGGGCTGATGTGGGGGGGGGGGGGGAGATTACAACGGGCAAATGCGCCAAGGGTGTTAGTAATCTCTTAATGGAGGCTGTGGCAGGAAGGAACATGAGTATGACAAACACACACACTCATGCCGGGGAATGCAAACCCCTGAGCCCCAATGTGTACAGTTCAGAGCGAGGAAGAGACAAAGAGAGGTCAGGCGGGGCATCATCTTGAGAGGAATGTTTTGGAGAAAGAAAGTCTAAAACTGACAGGGGAAATGTTTGGTCCAACACCTGCCACAGTGGAATCAATCCAATAAATGTGCTTTGTAAAAATGTATCTCTACTGCAAACAGCTCCTGTTCATATCTCTCCTGAAGGCTAGGTGTCGTCAATAACATGATGCTGATATCGGGCCTTTCTCTGCCCAGGAGATCAAAATGAGTCTTATCAGACACTACCATCGTGTTGGTTTCTATAAATCTTTTCCTCAGTGTATAGAAAGGTCTATGATTGGGTGAAAGTCAGGGATCTGCTCTAATGATTGCCCCCACACAGCCAGAAAAAAAAAATATGGCACCAAAGAGGCCCTCTTTTTTTTGTTTGCATCACTCCTGTCATTGTGGGCGTTTAAAATCCTTTGCCTTTTCAGTCGGCAGCAGCACTGGTTCCTCGTACTTCTCCCCGTCTGCGAAGCTGTGGGGAAACAGAGAGAGAGACACCATACGTTAGATTTGGGCAAGCTAAATCGGGGAGAGGCGTGTTAGTTGGAGGCTTGCATTACAGTGGAACCACTTCGTGCATGTTTGCTGGTTAGTGTGCTTATGTTTGGACACATTTGTATTCATAAATGGACTAAGATGTCCTTCTTGTTCCACAAACCATAAGCAGTACCACACATGTCCTTTTGCAGGCCGACATCTTTAGCCCTTTTCCTTAGAAATCTGTTCCAACAGTCTGCATCAGGGCTCTTGTTTGTCTTTTGGTAGATAAAAGCATCACTTTCAAATTCTCCCACCTTGAGGCTGATGGCTTTGGAAAGTCAATTAGTGGTGGAATCTGATAGCCACACACCTTAATAGAAGAGTTCAAACTAACGGTGGCTCTAAACAGAGGAATAGACAGATCTGATGAAATGGTACGAGGAGGATTCACCCTCCGACTTCTCCATCCTTTTCCCCGTCCTCCCCCTTTTTTCTCAATCACAGCACAGACTCCTTCTCAACTGCAGAATTCCATTTGTATGTTAATGAGGAAAGGGGATCCATCTTGGAGCCTCCCCCCTCGTTCTTGTCCTTCCCTTCCCTCATGCCTCCCCCTTCTGCAGCTCCCGACCAGTAAACAGAAGAAGAGGCAGACGTGACTGAGTGCATCCTCTCAGTCACGTGGAGTTTCTCTTTCACCCGCTGCAGTGTGAATGGCAGCGACTGTCTGTGGGCACCGTGTGACCCTGCCAACCCGGAGCCCAGAAGTTCGGGCCCCGTCGGCCCCTGCACCACAGCCCTCTTTGATGGTAACCGTCCGTTTACTTACTCCAAGGGAAAATGGGAAACACATGCTGAATTGGGCGAGATGTGGCAGGGGGGGGGGGTTCTAAGCACAGAATGCAGCAAGTTGGCCAGGAATGTTCGAGCCTGGCCCACTTTGGCCAGTTCGGCCCAGATTCCTCCCTTCTTCTCCTTGTACGGCCAAAAGCTCCCACACTGATATTTAACGTAGTTCCAAGAGCAAAGCAGTGGTAAGGTTTAAACAGAGGATGTGAATCACAGAAATTAAAGCTTTCAATTTGAGGACTGTTTTTTGTACTTCTGTGCCTTTAATTGCTCTATGGGGAGTACAAGTTTGCAGGTACTGGTAGAGAGCATACCTTCTGTGTATGTGTTGAAGTGCTGGCCACCTCTTAAAATATAGCACGTGTAATACTGACAAAGGTTTGCTCAGATGTTAAGGCATTTGCAAGTGTTTACCGTATATATGTACAGTCTCTGGTGTGTTCACATACGCAACAGGCACTCATGGTAGAAGATTTTCACTAGGTCAGCAAAACACCTAACGACCTAGCACATGCGTCATATTTCTCTGGTGTTATTGATTAACTAATTCACATTGAGCTACGGTGTTGCAAGTGAAAGCATGCACGCACACACATGCACGGACAGAAATAGCGAACACCGAAGGGAACAGAGTGAAGGCAGCATGCAGTGTTACAGAAGCAGAGACAGGGAGCAGAGAGAGCTTCTGAGAGACTGGCCTGCACCAGAGAGAACTTACACAGCAACACTCAGACCTACACATGGCCTGGCTACTGGTCTGCAGCCTTAGTGCCTCGCAAAGAGCCTTTCTTACGCATCTAGACAAAAATGAAATACAGTAAATCACAGAAATGATGATTAGGGAGCATGTGGGGGAAGCAAGGATAAGGTAACCATGGAAAGGTTTGTTCCTTTCAGTTAAATATGTATCTCAAAATGTATTCTGAAATGCATTAGGGATCAAGGAAGTCATATTTGTTCCGCAAAATGTCAGAGAAAAGGGTGCCAAATTGTTGTTACTCTCTGGGAAGCAAATGATACAGCAATGGTAATCAGGATGTCATTATCCTTCTCTTTAATTCAATATGTTTAGTATTTCACAGCCCCGCAGGTATTGTGACCAGGGTATGAAAAAGCATAGAGACTTTATTTAAAAACAGAAACTAATGGGGTTAAGCGGGAAATATGTTTTCCAGCAGGCTTCCTGTTTTATCACCTTAATAATTCTAGTGTATTGAACTATTGTAAGTCTAATGCTTGGAAGACAACAGCTCCATCAGAATAGAAACTAAAAAGGTGTACTACTGGTTCCTTTCGAGTTCAGGATATGAAATGTAGTGGTGTGTAATCTGTACACTCCTGACACGTCATCAATAATAAGTACATTAGATAGCATGGGGTTTTATTTTTAAATAATGGGTCATTTCATTTTATACACTCACTTCATCCAGCTCATTCTGTGTCTCTGCCTCCATACGACGAATATCTGTCATATTCAGCTCCACCCACTTATCAATCCAGCAGAAGAGCTGGCGGTGGAAGTTATTGAAGATCCTCTTCTCTTGCTGAGGGACACAGAGGTAGTCTGGGTTAGAGCTTAGCTGTTCAAATCAGGGCTGGGGGATATGAGTTACATATAATATCTCAATAGTCTTAGGCTATGATGCCATACATAGAGTATAACCCTTTAATGCATTGGTTCATACCAGTCTGATGATTGTACTGAACTAATCTGTACTTGGAGACATTTTAAAGGGCTTAATTCTTCAGTCAACAGTATTTAATCATTTAATGTGTTTATTATTAATTATCACATTTTTGGAAAATCTATTTATTTATGCATTTGATCTAATATTACAGACCTGACTGACTTAATCAAAGAATGAGAAAAACACTTTCACCGGAAGGTTGCATTTATTTTCGAGTCAGTTGTCACTAGGGACGGGTATCGTTTGAAATGTATCGATTCCGATTCCGGTTCTTATCGATTCCGGTTCTTATCGATTCCGGTTCTTATCGATTCCGGTTCTTATCGATTCCGGTTCTTATAGAGTCCCCGTTTCGATTCCAAAATTGTAAAAGAAAGAGGTCAAATGTTTAGATAACAAAAATATCGTTATTCTTTTAAGCTTTAACTGACATTTTTACAAATAAAAAATATACATGCAATACAAATGTATTACACAATAGCTGTGCTTTATTTTAACTGAGCTATGCCTGTGGCAAGCTATTAACAGGCATTACACTGTGCCTTGTCTTTTTCTTTTTTAGTATAGTGGAGCCTCACTTCAGAGCGTTTACCGCGACCCATCTTTGGTGTTATGAAGTGACTGAGCTCGTGAACTGTCTACTGGAGGGCGGGGGCGCCTCGCTGCGGGGCAACAGTAGACCTCTGTCGCCTGTCAGCGCAACTTACATGATGCCGTTATTAAGGGCGGTGCCGGCTGTCAGCGTACTGAGCCGGCCGTCAACGGCCCGCTGACGACCGGCCGTTCTGTGATTCTCCAGAACACACACAGATGGCCAGTCCGCCCTTATCCTGTATTCCACCGGGTCACCGCGGCGCAGACGGACCCGGTGGAATACAGGGTCTACCGCGTTTAGGAACCGTTAAGCAGAACCAAAATTGTGTATTTTGTATGGGTATCCGGTACCCGGCATTTTCTTATCGGTTCTCATCTGGAACCGAGTTTCGGTTCTAGTTCTCACATACTTATAGCCTAATGCCTAGTGAGTATTCTTTAAAATGTATAGAAAAGGTACGTAAACTGGTATAAATGACATGGGACAAAACAAATGTGTCAAAACAGAAACACAAACTTATGATACATTTCAATTCAAAAGACAATACGTAAACAAGTACTTGTATTGGTCAGTCAGGTCGGTCAGGAATTGCTTCGGCAACCTTTAACTCAGAGCCAGAGCCTAGATAATCGACTGTGTGAACTAGTTTAACTGTGTGAACATGTCACTCTCACCTCATGGATGAAGTTCTCCACCTTGGTCTGCAGGCCCCACCACTTGAACTTGACTGTGACCAGTTTGTAGGCACACATCCTCGGGCGGTCCGTCTTACTAACCAGCTCTTTCTGTTAGGAGAACAACAGCAGAAACAAACCGAAGCATAAGCCTTCACTTTTGACACTATCAGAATAAATAACGCAGGAAAAACTTTCCAATGAGAGAATAATCCTAAAAACTGAAGAAAGAATATGATTTAAGACTAATCTTTGCAACATTCAAAAGCATAAAAATCATTAATACATAATGCTTTGGGTATGGAGCTTGCTGAAATAATTATCAACATGAAGATGTGCTGTGCAGAGATAAAAGTGCCCTAATCTACAACACACTTTCTAAATCCATCCGCCGCTTGCACTCTGTCTCCTTGTGAAGAGAAGAAACGGAGGAGGTGGGTGGGGGCAGAGCAAAGTGGATAAACTCCAGATGAAGGGACCATTTCTCTGCCTCCGCCCTGACAGCGACACCGTTCCCGACAGGCATGCCTTTGTGGCCACGGAAAGCAGATAAAACGGCGCTCGCTAGGCGATAAAGGCGTCGCGGTGCAAAGCTGGTTACATTATTAACACCTAGGACCTCCTCGCCCCCAGAACACACACTCTCCCTCCGAGAACACCCGTTTAATTAATCACTTCATTCTGGCTCGGCATTCCAAGAGAAAATGCCACAGACAATCACCCTCATCCCACTGCCGTTTGATGCTGCGATCATGGAGGGGAGCGGGAGAGGGGGGGGAATGAGAAACATTTCTAAATTTGCAGTGGGTTTAGAAAAGTTGTCATCGCTAAAGGAGAACTTCACATGAAACGGATTCTACATCAAAACACTTACGGTGACATTTCTTCTCTCCCTCTCTCCCTCTCTGTGCCCCACTCAAAGGAGCAGAAGTTTTCAGAAATACAAAGGGTACCGATATGCAAGCATGTGTGCATGCAGAGATAGACAAGAGTTTTATTGCTCTGAGAAGCTGGCAGAAATTGTGCCTCTGTTGTCACATAACTACTTTTTTTCTTCCCCTCACCTTTTCAAAAACAGTCTTTTTCTATGTCCATAGCGGACGGGAAAGTGATCTAATTAAAAACACACAAAAAAAATAAGTTGTGCTTCTTTATTCATACTTTTTAAAGCTGTTTGGGTGCCTTTGTTCTTGACTTCTTGAAGCAGAGAAAAGTTTCCCCATGGTGAACTTTGAGGGCTCCGCTGCAGAGTAGAAACACTCCGTGCTCCCAGTGAGCAGGACCCTTTGTGAGGGTACGGAGGGTTTAGAGGGGAAAGCAACAACTCCTGACAAAGTTTCTCTGTGTGGAGCAGCAATATCTTATTGACTTATTACCCTCCATCAAAAACACATCAGTCTTTATACAGAACTGCTGCTTGTCAAATTCAGAACCCATGTCCTGACACGGCTTCTTTCCCATTTGTGTCTTCATCTTCTGTCCCGCAGCGTGGCAGGCGGAGCTCAGAGTAAAACCTTTATCTGACCCGGTGACTAGACATTTCTATTACATCCAATTAGGGCTGAAAAGAGGTGATTTGTCTTCATCAAATTGCTGCCTCACAGATCTGCCGACCCCAGTCTAGCCTTCCTCCAGCTCAGTGCTCTCCTGTGCACAGAGCTGCTCACATTATAACGGGCGATGGTGGAAAAAAAGGACTCTTTAAAAGATATCTCTACAAATTGATCCAAATGAATGAAAGGTATAAAATAAAAAAACACAACATAATGTAGGTCTACATACATTTCAAACACATCGACCACCATTTCTGTCATGCTGCATAGGAACCGTGAGTGAAACACATTTTTTTAAGTCCAGCCACACATTCTTGATTGGATTGAGGTCTGGACTATTTATGCATTTCCCAGAGTAGCTTTGGCTTTATTTTTTAGGAGTCCTCGTCTTGCTGGAAAACAAATCTTCTCCCAAGTAGCAGTCTTGCACACTGCAGCAGGTTTTCCCCTAAAAGATTTCCTGTCTTTTCCTTAATTCATTTTGTCATCTCACAATCCTAATCCTTCCATACCAGTAGCAGAGTAGCCTCCCCACAGCCTGATGCTGGCACCACCAAACACCCCCCAGCTCAATAATTGCTTCTCAGACTGCTGGACTCACTTCCAATGTGTTTGAGAGACTCCCACATACCTTCTGCTGTAAATGTGTTTGGCTTTTAACAGTGGGATATTGTTTGTTGCATGCGTAGTGTCTCCTAGCACGATCATTCAGCTTCTTCAGAGTTGGCACAGGCCTCTCTGTGGGGAGGACAGTCTGCTCTCCACCGATTTACAGATGTTCCATATTCTTTCCATTTTATTACCACATGTACTTATTAGTGTTAGTGCTTTGGAAAATGTCTGCACAGATTATGCAAGGTCTTATGCAATTACAGTGGGAAAATAACAAGTAAAACCTCAGCTGAATAGCAACCAGGTATGTATCCTCTCTAAACAGTCTGGGGGTCAGACGTGGGTTATATCTTTGTTCATCTCTGGTGAAAATAATTGCCATTTGTGTTTGAATGCAATATGTGACTTGCATAGCTCACGAGTGTTACCTTCCAGGCGGGCCCCAGGGGTCCTCTGCCGGTCTTTGCTGACTTGAACTTGGCAGGGTCCTCATCTGGCTTGTAGTCCTACAGTGAGAGCAATTTATATAATTGATACATAGCACATTATATTTAGCAGACACAAACTGCTCAACAGGCTGAGGTAATGTGTTCCTGATTTAAATGTTTTTATGTGAATACTGCTACATCATAACTTGAGCAATGATTAGGCGTTTTGTTTAAATCAGCATGATATGAAAAGAAAGCAGGTCTAGATTTAGACATTATCTTTAGAATATTATCTAATACAAAGCACCAACCAAAAGATAGTTTCATTTTATTTCATTAGCGCATTCAGCAGGTAACAGAATGCCATGTTTGTCGTACACTGCTGTTCCCTCACTGTGCTCTTAACTAACTTTACACATTTTCCAAAACCCTCCACGATTCAGAGATAATGTCATGTAGCCTGACCTGAACCTTAAGTGGCTCGGAGACAAGAGACTCTATGGGGCGTTCATGCCGCCAGCAACATCTGTTTAATTAGGCAACACTGATACCAGTTCATTTACGTGAATTTGCTTGCATCTACCTGCATGTGCTGAGTTTGTGTTGCTTGCTGCACAATTGAATGCATTTGCATGTGTCTACTGTAAGTACAGCTGCTTTAACTGCAATTACACTCCTTACAATATATGTTCACAGTTATGTCCAGCTAAACCTTTTTTCTTGAACTAACCATTTATTTGCCATAGCACAGAAAGATCTTGGTTTCATGGCAGACATATTTTTTAAGCATGTAGAAAAATACTGAGCACAAAGTTCAATTCATAAAAAATGCAAGACAAATAGTAATACAAATAAATGAAATGGCTTTCAAATTACTAACAGCTCAAGGGCCCAGCAATTTTAAATAAATCATGATGCGCCTGCGGCTAAAAGCTACTTTTCAGGGCTATCGGCCAACAGGAGGGTGCCAACCGTGTGGAAAGAGATAGAAACCCGACCGTACACACACACACAATAATTTGGCTGTTTTAATGCTGAGAGCTCCATCACTATAACAATACGCTGTGCTGCACTAATGAGGCCTGTGAATCGATATGCCGTGGTCGACGAAAAGGAGCTACTCCACAAGTAAAACAGTGTGTGTTAGAGTGCAAGAGTGTGTATTTGTCTGGTTCCGGCATACGAAGCGCTGTGAGCTTTAATTACACTAACAAACTCATCTGTGGTGGCAGTACGCCCCAGGCCCTGCAGCCATGCCTGAGGCTGAGGGCTGATAGGGTCCTCAGACACAACACACTCCTCCAGCAAGGCAAACACCTCCGCCTCGTTAACTACCCACCGCAAGCAAACATGTACACACACTCAGAGAGCAATGCTGCTCAGCCAAATGTTCTCGTACACACACACACACACACACACAGTGAAATGAGGCAATGTGATGTCAAATAACAGCAATAACGTGCAACATCTTCAAAAAAGATTTCAGAGATTCCATGAGTATCAAGTAACAACTCATTCATATTTTGAAATATCAATGAGGGCATCTAAGGCTGCGCAAATTGTGTGTATGGTTTTTAAAAGATTCAAAAGGTTTCAATCTAGTGGTGCTTACGTTGATGTATTTACATCATGCTATTTTATATAGTCGGTTCTTGCCATCCATTGATAGCCAGAGAGACATGTGTGTAATGGTATTCAAGCTTCTGGTTATTGTTTAAATGTATCTTATGTGATGTTTAAAACACATTACAAATGTTAAAAACACAAGAAAGCCTGAAGGCTTATTTGAATTCTCTAGTAAAACTCACTAAGATAAAGCAACACGGGCGTAACCAATGCTGATCTGTTGAATACATACAGTTGTAAATGTGTTATCCAAATGATTAGTGGTAATGATGTTCCCATTTATATATTCTCTAAATGTTCACTGAAAGTTAATGTTTCTCTGAAGAAAATATATTTTTTAAATCTCCTAAAAAAAAATACATTAAAATGAAAAGATGATTCATTATCAAACATTTATTAAATAACGCTAATTTAAACATCCCTTATGTGAAGTGGATTAGTTCAGCAGATTTCTTTGTAATGACCAGGCTTGTCCACTTGAAGGCACCAAACTTTTTTATTTTATCTTTACTTCTGTGCAAGAAGAGGTTCTACTTACCGCAGCGGACACCTCACTTCTGTCTGCGATGTCAATGGGCACCACCGCTACGTTCTGCCACGTGGAACTGTCTAGTTTGTGCACCTGAACAAACATGACAAAAAAAGTAAGATGAGCTTACCAATACAAATTTGATATTCAAATATAAATTAATCTAGACAAGGTGTAGAGGTACTCACATTTTCTTGTGTTCCAAGGTCTGGTTTGTGCCACGTCTCAATCTTAATGAAGAAATTGTCTTTCATATACTCATTCTAGAGAGAAGAGGTGATAACATTAAGGTATAAACCGAGTATGTAGAAGCACCTCAAACTTAGTTGAAGGAATCAGTTAAGATAACCAACAAATTAAGAGCCATTAAGACTACTTACCGTCACAACTGGATCAAGATGAGGCATGAGGAGAAAACAGAGAAAAACGTACCATTAGATACAAATAAAAACACTATAAAGTCACGTGTAACAGGAGAAGACTTAGGTTTTCAGGGTAAAGCAAGGGTAGAGTGATATAGGGAGGGGACTCACTGGTTCTGCAGTAGGGGTAGGCATTCCAGGCTTTTTCATGAAATTCCAGGGAGCCTTCCGGGGCAAACACCTTGACAAACCCTGGGACTTTACTGGAGGCGGGGTAAAGAGGAGGGGGACGGGTAAATGGAGGTAAAGAAAAGGAGAGGGAAGACGTATTACCTCAGTTATCAGAATTTCTATTGTGCAGGTAGGAAACCAAAACCTGAAATCCTTCACAACAAAGATAAGACGATGCTGCCACTGCCTGGTAGCACGATGCCATTACACTTTGAGAAGGCAAAACAAACAAATACCTTTTTAGATGATAGATTTTGTGAGTGAACTGTCCCTTCTCGCCGTCCTTTTCATAGGGTTCATTCTTGAGGACCTCAATGCCCTCACCACCACCCGTCTCATTTTTACTCGCTTCAGCCACGGAGAACAGCTGTCCCACTTGGTACTGCAACAGAAAATAAATAAATAAATCATCAGTCACTCTGTCATTTCTTATTACAGCTTTAATTGTAATCATTCATTAGTTCCAGCTCATTTAGGCCACTTGTGGATTCCCAAAGTCGTGGTAGGGATCCACTTTTAGGTTACAGCTGTGTCTTATGTCTATGTTATGATTATAGAGACACAGCACTTGATATGCGTTAAAAAAATTAAACGTAGTAACTCTCATTGTTCTGATGGCACTCTAATAAATTGCAGATTTATATAACTTGCCAAGACAAACTACAGCAGAACTCAATAGTCAAAGAAGGTTATGTAAGACTTTTAGTGTGGGAGCAAGCGTCTTATTTTTTTATTATACTGCTGTCTTTCCAAATCAGAATACGACTACAGCAGGCTTAATCTGGGCAGTCTGTTGTTTGCATTACAAGTTTACCCTTCAGTCTGCAGGCCAAGTTAACTAGTGTCGCATGTCATGATGTTTGAACGGCAGACGGATAACCAGAAGGGCGGATGTTTGCTTAAACTACCAGAGCTCTTACTAGTGTTTCCCATCTGAAGAGAATAGTCATTTTTCAATTGTTTGGTATGAACTTTAAAATGCGACATTAGTCACCAAGATATTTAAATGACCATATAAGGCAGTAGGAATAAATCCAGCTCTCGTTACGCAACACACATGATTAACAAATGATGCTTTTCCCCCTGATGAAACCGTGTTGCCTTAACGTGCAACCAGAAGCCAACCACTGGACATATTAGATAGAGGTGCATTTATTATTCACCATAAGTTAATTGAGAGGATTAATAATCTTTTGAGAAATATTGATTACAATTAGGTATAATTACTAATTCCTATAAACCACCACTCTGATACACTTAAATAATAAAACAGATCATAAGGTGCAAGTGTAAAATGTATTTTAGTGAACAAAATCAATTCCTTAATATAGATGTGTCCAACTATGAAGCAAATAACATTTATATATATCATATACCATTGATCTGATGTTCTTCAAACTTAAAGACACATTTCTTAATAAGAACATGTGTGATCCATATAAACAAATATTAAGAATAGAGTCGATGTGGTCAAAAATAAAGTGCTGCAGCAGTATTTTTGAACTATTTAAAAGATTATTTTTTAAAAAGGTGGCAATCACTTTTTGGAGCCATTGTTTGCCCCAGACATAAATGTGACTAAGTGAAAATGTACAAGAAAAAAGTTAGAAGAAATAAATGAAATGAGAGCATTTGACATCATTAATCTAGTTGTTCAGGTAATGAAGATGACTCACCTCCTCAACACTACAGGGTAGAACCACTCGACTGCAAGAGAAAGAGAAGTGTGATTACATTCAAACATACTTGTTTCTTAAAGACACAGTTTATTATTAGGCACTTCTGTCAGAAGCACTGCACTATTGTTTATGAAGTGAACGAGTATAACTTCACCTCAAGGCAGGTGCAGAAAGACAATACACTTTCTAAAAACACTTCTCCACACAATATGAACAAAGTTAACAGCCGCAGGAGGGCAGCATTGCCACTACCATGCCTTATAAATAACATCAATAATTCACGCTTCTGACTGTATGAGAACAGGAAGCCAGTCATTGTGGCTCTTCCTGAGGTAACAACCATTACTGCCCAGTTTGACAAACTGCTGACTTCAGCAACATGAGAGGAACCCATCATTAGAGCAGAGCAATAGTAATGAGGAGGACTTTAGAGGGAAATGTAAGGAGTGGGCCATTTTAGGTCACAAATATTTCTTAAAACAACAAATGTGCTGCAGACAAGTGACAGCAGGCACAGCACTTTGACAACAACAATATCTTAATTTGTATCCGACAAGATATCAGAACATTAAAAGACAGTGTGTTCTTGTTGCATAGTTAGAGTACATGTCCTGACAGACTGTTACTTCAGGGTGAGGTAAGGGTACTTAGGGTTAGAACCAATTGCATCATTTACCCTGATGAGCATGACAATTCAGTCAATGACCACAAACCATACAGTGCAAGAGGTGGTACAAGTAGGCAGAGGAAGTTCTCTCAATGCATGCATCTAAAGCTAGGCTGTATTCAACACTGACACTTGGTGCTCTGTTTTATTTCTTTATAAATAATTTCTGACTGGTCCCGCGGGTTAGATGCGCGTTCATAATGCAGAGGGAAATAACTCTCAGAATAACGTTATTAGCACATTTTGACAACTTGAGGAACGAATGTTTTTAATAAGGGCTATACAAGTGTTCATACTGGGTTGTTTATTTAGTTTAAAAAAAAGTATCCAACGAGTTACAGACCACTCTTTCCCAATGTAAGTCAATGGGAAAAAGTGTTTCCGGGCCCAGCAACCTAAAGGAAGTGTAGTACCGCCGTTTGGCCACAACGAATATTCTCATCAGACTCCGGCGCACTTCCTGGGGGCTTGGGGCAGACGCGTTGGAAACCGTTTTTGAAGCTGTCGAAGCTGTAGTGTGGATGGGCCGTAAAGGTGTGTTTTGCTCCGCTCACCGGTCCCTCACAGCGGGCAGAGCTGCAGGTGCTGATCTCTCTCTCTCTCTCTCGCGTCCGGTTATACTTCACTCGCGTTTATGTCCAAATCCATCAGATCTAGCTAATGATATGGCTGCTGCCCCTCCATACACGCAGATCACGCAGACTCAAACCTCATCTTATGCCCAAATTCCAGCTGAGAGGGTCTTCTCTACAGCTGGCCTGATTGTGAATCGCCTCCGCACCCGCCTCTCCCCTGAGCATGTAGACATGCTCATATTCTTAAACAAGAATGAGTATTGAAGAGCTGCATTCTGTGCATAGGCCCTGTTATAGGTTGTTGATCTCTGTTGTATTAGGGTTACGTTACCCTAATCCGTTATGTTGTTCGCGTATGATCCCTCTTTAATTTAAAAGTTACGTTTTAATTATTTATTTTATATATATATATGATATGTACATTTCGGTTAATCAATTAACCATTTTTTTGGGAGTCGAATATACATTTGCTTTCAAATTCCCATCCCTAGTTCATACCCATTTAATCTAACCACAAATAGTCCAGAGGGCCCAAAGAAAAAATGCTTCCTGGCTACAGTGTTTAGCTCTGGGTCACCTAACATAAATAATGGTATTTTGTATCTTGAAAGAAACAAGTTTTGTTCAATCATGCAACCCTGTAGGGACATTATTAACTAATGTAATTATTATTCATTCAGGGCCAAAACTATAATACAATAGCCATTATTGAAGTCAAATAGAAAAACATCAATATATGTGTTTCCAAACTTTTGAATGGCAGTGGAGGTACTCTTATTGAGGCAGCACAGTGCTGAGGTGCAGGGGTATTTCTGGACTGTAACACAGTGGTAATATGATTTTACATAACTCTAATCTGTGTACTGTATTGCCAGAGTTTGTGTGGCCTGCAGAATTAAACCAGCAATCCTCATCCTTCCTTTCCTAATATCCATAGGAACAACAGGGTGTTAGAACTAAGTATATGGACTTAAGAAATACCCATTAAGCCTCAACAACAAGCAGCCGAGTGTAAATAAGTACTTGCAATATGCAAAACAGAATGACATGTTGAGGTTCATTGTAGGAAAACAAATCTAATAGAAAGGGCCCAATAAAACCACTAATCACAAATGCCAACACATATTTTTTAATATTCAAGCAAACGAGATGAAAGGCCTGAACCAAACCCGAGACATGTTTAGAAACGTTGCTGATCTGCATAATTAAGCTCCTATTTAATTGATGCATTAATAGTATGCAACATTGTGGTGTTTGATCTGTGTTTTGATGTTTAGACCTGTGTCACGTTCCCGTGGTACAGGCTTTTAGTTGTATACTTCATTAAGATATAGCAGCAGAAAACTCGAGCCTGAAACAGTATAAACACTATAGACTTCCTGTCTCACAAAACGCAACAGTTTCTTTACTGTTGAACGTAAAGTAACAAACTACATTTCCAAATTCAGCAAGCACTCATTAAACACAAGTCCGACTCTAACTATGACTAAATAACTGCTGAGGGTTTGCTTAGTGTCCTAGCCCTTAATGTCAACACCAGCATCTTTAGATCCAACTTCACAACTCACACAGCTAACAGCTAGCTAGCGTCATCTAAACACTAACGTTACTACCGCTAGCAGGCTAGTTGATGGAAATATTATAATTCCTTCAACGCGAGAACCAACAAATGTGCCTTTTAGTCCAAGTCTTGGATACGATTAGTGGACACCGCAACATGTGTAACGTTTACTGTCAAAGTTGCAAATTATAGCATTAGCAGTGCTAAGTGATATCCATTCATGTCAACGCTATACCATTAGGTTGGCTAGCATTAGCAAACCGTGAGCTAATTCGTAGCTCAACTTAATTTTAAGTTTCACAAAAAGGAGTGAACCCATGCCGTTACCCTTATCTTAAATAACATGCACATGAAGCATAGACTGAAGAATTTAGAAGCGAATAACTGAAGGTGAAACCACGAGAAACTGTAAGGTACCACGAGAAACTGTAAGGTACAACAGAAGCTGTCACACAGAGCCATAGCGCTGTCAACGCCGGTAGGCCACAGCAGCTCTAGAGCAATCCCACCCTTCCCTCGTGTGAGTGACACAGCCAAGATGAAAAAGTTTTCATTCGTGTCAAATTTAGGTAAAAAAATTGCCCAGGCCAAGCGAATCTGTTAACACTGCTTGCAGTTGGTTTAACGTTTTCAAAAAAGATACCGGATAAAAGAGAAAACATCGGACTTACTACTCCTTGATGAGAACCATGGTAGCTCGCTCCTCTCGGTACCACTGTAACTTCCAAACAAGCGCTGATTGCTGCTGACGTCATGAGCTGCAGCTAGGGGGGGCCCCCGGTCCCTCCCCCCTGAGCCTGATTTGCAGAAGTAGGCATGGAATGGACCAGCTAATTGGTGTTAACAATAGACTGTATAAATACTGTATGTATTAACCCCCAAACATTTTTGAGCTACAAAACTTTTCCCGAAGAACACTTTACACTGTACACTTTACACTGGGAACGCTGGAGATATGTCCTCATCCCTTTTTGGAATGGCTGATTTTGTCCCCATTACTTTTTAAAGCATAATCTGTTCACAAGCATAAGTGTTCTGTCAAACATCTTGCAACAAGTAGGCCTAGTTTTTTTACACAACATATGACACATCAAACAATGTTAATAGAATACATGAATTTGCATCGTCCAAAGCTTAGAAGTCCCTTGCCTATAATTCTCAAAGGATCCAAAAAAATGCATGCACTGATCAGTACAGTACGTTAAATAATTATTGTTCTAGTTTCTGCCTGTTTTTTCCATTACTCTTCCTAAGGCAAGGCAAGGCAATTTTATTTATATAGCACTTTTCAGCACGTGGCGATTCAAAGTGCTTTACCAACACAGCATAGGCTACATACATTATTAAAAAGGCATTTAAAAACAGGCATAATAAGCAAAGGTAATGAAATTAAATACATAAATAAACACAGCAGGTACAGAATACATGACTAAAAAGGCATACTGTAGTGTGAGTGTGGGCAGCTCAATTAAAAGCAGCGGCAAATATAGGTGCGTTTTTAGTCGGGATTTAAAAATAGGAAGTGTTTCGGCGGACGTGCATGATTTAGGCAGTTTGTTCCAGATTGTTGGGGCATAATAACTAAAAGCTGCTTTTCCATGTTTAGTGGTTATTCTCGGAACAGAGCAGACCCGACCCAGAAGACTAGACTCCTGGATGCTTCATAGTGATGGAGGAGGTCGTCTATACAGTATACCTCGGTCCTAAGGCATTTAGTGATTTAAAAACTAGCAGTAGTATTTTAAAATCAATTCTTTGGCAGACTGGAAGCCAGTGTAATGATCTCAGAACCGGAGTGATGTGATCCACTTTTCTAGTGTCAGTGAGAACTCGAGCAGCAGCGTTCTGAATCAGCTGCAGCTTTCTGATATATTTTTTAGTGAGCCCTGTGAAGACACTATTGCAGTAGTTGAAATAAAAGCATGGACAAGTTTTTCTAAATCCTGTTGCGACATTAGTTTTTTAATCCTTGATATATTCTTCAGGTGGTAGTATGCAGACCTAATAACTGTTGTAATGTGACTGTTACAACCCAGATTTCTTGCTTTGTGAGTTACTTTGTAGTCTGCCGACTGAAGCTCTGTGATTACTTTTAATCGGTCCTGCTTTGCTCCAAAAACAATGATCTCAGTTTTGTCTTTGTGCGATTGGAGAAAGTTCTGAGTCATCCAGTCAGTGATGTGCTCTATGCACTTGCTCAGTGTTCTAATCGGAGAGTAGTCTCCCGGTGTAATTTTAAAATAAATCTGGGTGTCTTCTGCCATCCTTTACTCCGAAAAAATATTTGTTTCTCCGAATCGAAGGGGAAAAATACAAAAGCATTGCACACAATTTAAACCAATCAATGTTGTGTAATTAACAAGGATACTCTGGTGTTTTTTAGTCGATGAGTAGTGCAGATATCACTGTAAAATCAATCGACAGTAAGAGGAATACTTACTTCCGGGTGTACAATTCTCCGTTATCCAATGAGAATGGACGCTCACATTGCCTTTAAGGGCAGCCGACACAAACGAATGCCGTGCTTCCATGAGCGTCCATAGAAGCATATGGACATCCCGGAAGGCTGAAAATGGACGCTAAGGGCCCCCCTCTTGCGTTGAAAATGGACGCTAAGGCCCCCCCCCTTGCGTTGGAAAAAGCCGACACAGGACTTGACATAACGTCAACATAGGCCGACCTGGGAGTGAGGATGTGTTGGCATATGTGATAGCTTAGATCGCTCTTTTTAATAATTTCAGCCAGAGGTAGCATATCAATATTAAAAAGCAAAGGTCCTAAAATGGAGCCTTGATGAACCCCGCATGACATATTTATCAGGGTTGATTTGTAATTGCCTATTGAGACAAAGTTTGTTCTGTCCTTCAAGTAGGAGCTAAACCAGTTTAGAGCTGTTGCTGAAACTTCCAACCAGTTTTCAAGACGGTCTAGCAATATGTTGTGGTCAAAAGTATCAAAGGCAGCGCTGAGATCTAATAATACTAACACTGATATTCTGCCACTGTCTGTGGATGTCATTTAAGACCTTAACAAGTGAAGTCTCAGTGCTGTGGTTAGGTCGAAAGCCCGACTGAAACACATCAAAACCGTCAGTCAAAAAACATGAAATTACTCAACTGTTGAAAAACTGCTTTTTCAATCAATTTGCTTAAAAAGGGAAGGTTTGATATTGGTCTGTAATTATTCATAATGGTTTCGCCTAGGTTATGCTTTTTTAGTAGCGGTAATTATTGCCGTTTTCAGGGCCTGTGGAAATACACCTGATTGAAGAGACTTGTTTACTATGTGTAGTAGATCTGAGGCCAAGCAATGAAAAACAGTTTTGAAAAACGGGATGATGTCGAGGCTACAGGAGGAGGATTTCAGATGTTGGATAATGTCTTCCAGGTCTTTAGCATTTATCAGACGGAATTGTGACATGGTGTCTGAATTGGCTTTAGGTGAACACAGGGACAGTACATTTGCTGTACCTGATGCAGAGGCACTGACTGCCTGTCTAATTTGCATGATTTTGTCAGTGAAGAAGGAGGCAAAATCATTGCAGGCCCTGGTGGATAAAAATTCTGAGGCTATTGACACTGGGGGGTTTGTTAGTCTGTTGACGGTATCAAACAAGGCACGTGAGTTGTTTTTATTTTTGGTAATGATGTCAGAAAAGAAAGACTGTCGTGCCTTTTTTATTTCCTGATTATAGAAACCGAGTTTCTCTTTATATATTTCCAAGTGAACCTGGAGATTTGTTTTTCTCCACCTGCGTTCAGCTTTTCTGCACTCAGTTTTTGCTGTTCTCACAGTCATGGCTTTTCTCCATGGAGATATTTTCTTGCCAGATACTTCCTTTATTTTAATGGGAGCGATGGCATCCATTACATTTGTTATTTTAGAATTAAAATGATCTACTAGCTCATTTACTGAGATGTTAGCAGGGGCAATTGAGGAAGTAAAAATCTGGTCAAACATTTCCTCTGCATTTTCAGTTAAGTGACGTCTAGTGGTTATCTCTTTCTTAACAGTTGTATGGACGGTAATAGAGCTCTCAAAGAAAACACAGGAATGGTCGGAGAGCGCAACATCAGTCACCACAAGCTTAGAGATGTTCAGACCCTTTGATACAATTAAGTCCAGGGTGTGCGTGTGCCCCTTATTGTGCGTCGGACCCTTGACATGCTGAGTCAGTCCACAATTGTCGATAACACAAAACAGTTCTTTAGCCCCTCTGTCCTCATGGATATTAAAATCGCCAACAATGATTAAACGGTCAAAGTCAATACACAGACACTATAACAACTCGGTAAAATCATCAAAAAAGCTTGCACAGTATTTGGGTGGTCTGTAGATGTTTAGGAAAAGAGCTCGAAAGGAGCATTTCAACTGAAGGGCCACATATTCAAAAGAAGCAAAGTTTCCATACATAGTCTGCATTGAAATAAGTCATTAAACAAAATAGCTACTCCACCCCCTTTCTATCTACTGTGACCTCATACCTTACCCACACGACCATTTTAGAAATATTCTCACCCTCTTTGTCCCACTACTTTTGAACAGAAAGTGACACCCTTGCAAAAGGACTTTATTTATGGCGAAGAAGACTTTTAAAAATAATATCTATCCATCTATCTATATTTCTATATATCCATCCCTTCATCCATCCTTCCATGAGGGCACCATTCAACAGAATAAGCCAAAAGTCAGCAAACAAGAAAGCAAACATGATGTTTTTATTGAAACAGTTTACTGATATATGACAGATGGTTGTCATTAAACTTTCATGTTTAATCTCAAAAAAGCATGGGCTAAAAAGTCATACATGGTACTTAACATTGAATAGCAAGAGAATCCATGCTTCAGAGCAGACACTCAATTCACAAAGAAATCAGGCAAAATGCCCTTTTGATTTCATAAAAAATATTAAATCTTTTTTTCCCACTCTATCCTTCTTTACATGGTACATGTTTGTTCACTTTTTAATAATATAAAAACGCTTAATACTGATTGTGAAACACTGGAATTAATTTACAAAACATAATAATAATAATAATAATAATTATAATATTAATAACAATAACAAACAATAATAACAATAACCATTACATTTAAAAACATAAAATAAAATGGAGAAAATCAGTCTGTTGCATCTTGGCCCACACAAACAGCAAAGAAAAATACCAAATGGCATTTACATCTACCTGACACACAGTTACACACAAACACAGTATCAGGTCGTTGAGTATTTCTCATTGCCATTTACAGTGTTATGGGCACAAAGACAAGACACTCTCTAAAGCATTCATGTGCCTCTGTGGGATCACACTCTCCGACCAATCAAATCCTTCTGTCAGTCAAACTTAGTGGACCAATAGTAGTCCTCAAAAAGTGCCCCTCTCCTCCAGCGCACAGGATATTAAATGATAGATAAAAGTATGGGACCATTTTAAATGTCTCAGCATTTAGAGGAAGGGAAAAATCTCCCAGGCGACAGGAACTTGTATCCATTGCCAGCAGGTAGTCGGATAGAACGAGGACCAGGGCTACTGCTTGTGGAAATTGTAGGTGACGGGGCCATTTGTCTAGGGTTGGAGAAGTTGTGTCCATTCTTGTTGTTCCTATCTAGTGACTGCAGCCCCAGCTCCCGCAGCTCCAGGCTGTCTTGGTTATCATTAGGGGAGCAACGACGTGGAGAGAGGTTCAGAAGGCTCAGTACATCCCTGCCAGCAGAAGCAAGAGGGCCAGGAGCACCGTGGACAGCTCTGACAGGA